AAAATTGTAAGGCGGACCAACTTTAGTTAACAATAAAAATAAGTAGTATTAGTGTTTGACTAAATCTTTATTTCACAGTCCTTACAATTTCCTCCATAAGGATGATGACACTAGAAATAATCGTAATATAACATTTATGTCGTTGAAGCTACAATTAAAAGGTACTTACATTTTATATTTACACTAGAAAATAACAGTGAAATGGTACACATTAAAGCAGTTCTCCATAAGGATAAGCAATGTGTGTGCAGAAAGTTAGATTTTTTCGTCTTCTTTTGTGGTCATTTACGGCAATAATTTCGTTTGTTACTTCAACGTTTTATGTAAGTTGGCCCAAGGGCTATCGGTTCGGACAAATTTCAACATCAATCTCAACAAGAGGGAACCCCTAACGAGCCAGCGAGTCATATAAATTTTATAGCCATTTCATAAATCCGGCTGACAAGCATGGATAACCGGCATGACTTCACTCGGTAGATTATCAACGTTAAACCTGTAAAGCACAGTGCGGTTGAAACCATTGAAATGCTATTCAAATGTTAGCCAATTTCGTGAATGCTATTCGAAAAGGACGATCTCTTCAATTTTATTGCTCTCACAGTGGCGACAAAATCATTCTCTACTCATTACTCAATATCATTTCTTCATAATTATACTATAAAGGAATTCTCTCTTATTTTTACTAGTGTAAAATTGTTGTAAAATTATTATTATTATTATTTAAATCAGTTATAATTATAAGTATATTATAATGTATATATATTCTATTGTAAATATTTTGTGTAAGTTCAGAATACATAGTAACACAGTTTTTCTAAGGATATCAAATTGAGACGAGAGGATATCAAATCAAATCGCAACACTTTTGATTCATTTTTTGGCTCAATTTTATATCCTTAGAAAAACTATTCAATTTAGTTTAATTTTAGATTAAGTAGTAAAAAATTAGCATAGTCAAACTTAATATAATTCAGATTAATAAAAGTAGTATAGTCAGTACCCGAGTCAAAATTTAGACCCTCTTTTAGTTCTGCAAAAACCTTTTTTTAACTTTTTTTAAGCCTCTTTAAACTTCTAAGTCCTCTTTTGAACCTAAAAACTGCAGAAATGGATTTTTCCGCACTATTAGAGGTTCAAAAGAGGTTGAAAAGAGAATAAGTAAGGAGGTCTTAAAAGAGGTCCGAAAAAAGATTTTTTAAAATATTTCGAAAACTAAAATTGGAATTTTTTCAGAGTTATATTTTAATTACCCTATACAAGATGCAAATACCCTAGTAGAAATTTGTCGTGGCATGACTAGATTTATTCAAGTTACTGTACAGTTTTAGTCATGGAAGTTTAATCTAGCTTAACTGGCGAATTACTAGACAGCTACTGCATAACACTGTTAAAGAAAATATAAAGTTGAACTTGATTATTACTGCATAGAAGTCCTGTACAGTTATTTTCATGGCACTGTCGAGGCGTTCCGAGAAATGATGTTCCAAAGTTTGTCGTGGCGTTAGCGCTACCGCCAGTTTCAGTAACTAAACAGTTGTGTATTGACATTTTCGAAATATTTTCTATAAAATAAATCTTTTGGTTTTACAGTTTATAGTTTTTATAATTTTAATTTTGTTCTTTTATTTTACTGTTGACAACTAAATAACAAATTTTTTAAATTATTTAATATTAAAATTTTGATTTAATAATAAAAATTTCTTTTCAATCAAAATTTATTTTTAATGAAAATTCCTTTAGAAAAAAAAAATTTTTTTAAAATTCGCTTCAATTAATTGAGTTAATTAAAATAACTAATTTTTTAAATTCAGAAGACAATTTCTTTTCAAGATTATATACTCTTATTATATGTATAAATATTAATTTAACAAACCTGTTACATACAAAAGTTAGAATTGGTCCAATAAAGTGAGGTTATGTTTTACATTGATGAATTGACGTTGACATATGTATAGCTCTCCGATCTGAATAACAGAACTGTCTATAATTAATGACAGTAGACAGTAACAATTTATTACTAATTCCTTACGGAAAAAATAGACATAATTCTAGTTACACCCGCGAATTATTTCTTTCAGTGTATACTCTGATGTATTTATGGAAAATGTCTACACAACACTGTTCAGTTGCTGGACTGACGGTAGCGCTAACGCCACGACAAACTTTGAAACATAATTTCACGGAACGCCTAGACAGTACCATGAGAATAACTGGACAGACAGAACTTCTATACAGTAATAATCAATAAGTTCAACTTTAGAGTGTTATGCAGTAGCTGTCCAGTAATTCGCCAGTTGAGCTAGAAAAGATGAAAAAGGGAACTGCTTTACCTGCCGGTAGAGTATGGTTCTTATTTTTCCGGAATCGTCCATCGACTAGAACGGCCGTGATGCGTAAAGCGTGCGTTTAGGTATTTCGTCCCAGTGTGACCCGAGTTCGCTCCCCGAAACCGCTAGATATTTTTCGTTTGAACTGAATTAATTCTTCATATTAGGGTTTACTTATAAGTTTGTAGTGTGATAAAATAATAATATTTATTTCAGTGTTGTGCTTAATTAAAGGAAAAAGTGAATGTTGTTTAATGTAAAAAAATGACATGTGTTCAAGAATCAGTAATTTTTATATTTTTTTTTAATTATGTAGTTATTTAAAAATAATTTTACAGATAATTTATTATAAATCATTTATTATACGGAACAATAGATACACCAACAGTAAAAATATAGTTTCGTAAAATTTTAATTTATTTAATTTGTTGACAAAAAAATTTAACGTTATATTTTCAAATTTGTACGTGTTTAATACGTAACGTCAATATAAAGAAAGTTTTGACATTTCCAAGTGAATTATTTTGTATAGTTTTTCTACAGGACTGATGATCAGAAACTGTAAAATTTGACTGGACAATAACTTGAAGAAATTAGCGTGACATCACTTTATAGTTTTTAGCCAGTTTAACTGTAAAGTGCCTCGAAATTTTCCAGTGGAACTGTCCAGTGCCCTTAAAGATACTATGACAAATTTCTACTAGGGTAATAGTTTTTGAATGATTTTATAAAATCTATTAGCATTGGTAGAAATTAAAAAAAATTTTCACAAAAATTTGAAATCCGCTTTTCAACCTCTAAACATCTGAATGTGGATTTTTCCGCATCGTTTTCAGGTTCAGAAGAGGTTTAAAAATAGAGGGTCAAAAGAGGGTCTTAATTTTGATTCGAGTGGTAAAGAATAAATTTAGTCTGACAAAATTTTATTTTATTTTATTTTATATTAAGTAGTAATTAAAGTTCAATCATATTCAATTTAGATCAATTTTAGATTAAGTAGTAGAAAATAAGATTCGTCACACATAATTTGATTTAAATTAAGAAAATCAGTAGTAAACAACAAATTTAATCAGACAAAATTCAGTTTTAATTCAAGGTAATTGATGCAAAACAAATGTATTCTGATTAATATTAGTTTTAATTAAAACTAAGTATTATTCTAATTTCTAAGTAGTATAAGTCAAGTTTAGTCTGGCTTATCTACTTGACTTTAAATTCAAAAGAAGTAGTAGAGGTTCAAATGTAGTCAGACATTTTATTTTATTTAACAATAATTGTAGTCTAACATTGGACTTTATAATCAGTAGTATAAACGGTTTTAGTCAGATTTTTGTGTGCGACTTTTAAATAAGTAGTAAATGAATGGTTTAGACAGACAAAAATAAATTTATAATTAGTAGTAAAAACAATTTTAGTCAGACGAAGCTATAATACTTTTGATTGAGTAGTAAATGATCGATTCGGTCAGACAAAATATGAGTTTTTATTTAAAAGTACCTACAAAAAACCAAATTAGTAATAATAAATTACTTGCAAGTAAATAGTTTAGAATATATATTTTCAACCCTATAACTATGTTCAGAAAAATATAAAAAATATTTTCAAAATTGAGTTTCCAAATTTTTTACTATTAGGAAGAGGATTTTTTTTTGCTGACATTTTCTTATACTTTTTTCCACTGTTTTGAGTGGGGGTGAGAGGTGATTTCCATAATTTTGCTCGCGAGAGTCATAACAAGGGCCGAACATTGTGTAATAAAGGGGTACTACTCTATTTAACATTCGTAGCAATTAAAACTTTGAGAAATAATTCAGAACTCGTTTCTCGTAAATCAATTCGAAAATAAGTGTTTAATCCGTTGGTTTCTTTGTGGACATTTATTGGCCCAGCTTTTGTGACGTGGAAATAATTTTGAATGCTCGTTTCAAGAACGAGTAGACGAGGGGTGAATTTCGATGACTTTACCAAGAAGAAGATTGTGCGAGGGCCTTTATCGTTGGATCTTAGATTCGACGACAGGTAGAATCCTACCTGTTGCTGCTTTGATTTCAAGGGTCCGATTCTGAAAAAACACATCTAAGCTATTTTTTTTTACTATGATATAATAAAATAAATTCTTTTCAGAATTTTTCCATAAAATATTAATAATACTAAAAAGAATTTATCATCTAAAATGAAATTAAAAAGAATTTTTGTAACTTTTTCAAAATCAATGAACGAATGTTACATTTAAAAATTAATTCACGAATACTTATTAATATAAAAAATTAATAAGACACAAAAGAATTTATCATCTGAAATGCAATTAAAATAGAATTTTTGTAAATTTTTCAAAAACTCTAAAAGAATTTTTTATTTAAAAATTAATTCACGAATACTTTTGCTATTCTGTAAAGTATTTTATTTTTAAAAAGAGTTAGAGAAAATTTTAATATGTGAACTCTTTTTTTCTTTTTTTTATGTAAAAAAAATGTTCGTCATACTTTTATTAAACATTTTTCCGTCTATTAAGCAGAGTGAAAGGAGAATTGGAACAAAAGAAAAAAGTGAAATTATATTAAAACAGTTTTTATTCTCTTAATTGATCCTATAAGAGTTCTTTTTTAAAAAAATGGTAAATTAAATAAAATGATATTACATTTTTCATTATTATTATTTTTTCTTCTTTTTTAGACGGATGACCGAGGAAGATCACCTGGAAGTTCGCGACGTCCTACACCGGTCGCAATTACCACCTTGCCACCAAGTCCTGAAGAACCTGTTACACTGTAAGTTGTAATAATTACAAAAAAATTCTTACCACTTGTCCCGTGGAGAATTTTTTCAATTTTACACTGAAAAAAAATTTATTTGAATGAATTACGCGATTACTTGTCATTCATTAAATAAATATTTACTTGAATCAAATAATTTTTACTCAAATCAATTTAATTGTATTTAAATCAATTAAATTGTTTGTAAATCAATTAAATTGTATTTAAATCAATTAAACTGTGTTCAAATCAATTAAATTGTATTTAAATCAATTAAATAGTGTTTTAATCAATTAAATTATATTTAAATTAATTAAATTGTATATTTGAATCAATAAATTCTGTATTTGAAGCAAATATGATTGATTTGAATAAATAAAATTTGACTCAAGTAAATATTTATTTGATAATAGATGTTTATTTATATCAAATAATTTTTTTTCAGTGAGTTCCTTTTTTTCGAAAATTTACACCAGTTAAATAAAATTCTTGATAAAAAGTAAAAATGATAATTAAAAGTAGAGTAAAAAACAAAACTAAAAAGATTAACAAAATCATCTAATTAACAAAATTATTAGAAAAGGAAAAAAAATTAATTCATTTGTGATTTAGTCAAATTAGTAAGATAGTAGATACATAAAAATAGTAAAATCTTTAAATTGCATAAAAAGAAAAATTTCTAAACGGGACAAGAAATTATTAAGAAAAAATATTTCTGTACATCGTTGACTAAAAAAAGAAAAAAGATTCTTTTAGTCTAAAAAATAAGTGGTTCAGTCGAAAAAGCCACTCAGATAAATTAGTCGAAACATGTTTCTGTGTATGCGAACCCCCCTTTTTAACGCACACGAATATTCCACAACATTTTCAACAATCGAAATACTCGCTTTACTGTGTATTTCTCTGTTGGCTATATATATGTATATATTCAGCATCTCGGTTCTTACGCCTAAAAACCTGCTGGGATGGTGATATTTATGCTGGTTTTTTATTGCACTTTAGCCCGCGAGTAGAATGGAAACAATATGTCACCCCCGGTGTGGGTGGCGAGAAGGGGGAGGAAGGGGGGCAAGGACAGGAGTATGAGAGAAGGGTGAAGGTGGAAAACGAAGTTCTTGTAGCCAGTATAGGGCACTGGTGGCACCTAACGTTAATACTAACGCCCATAGTCTTCATATCCCCCCCTCTCTCTCTTTCTCTTTCTCTCTACCCATACCCAGCACCGCGAAGTCATGATTTTAAACGAACAACCCCTCACAGACATTGGATTACGGTTTTCAAGGAATAATGCTCGCCCGAAATTTTGCCTCTAGCCACCTCTCAAATGCGAATAACTGATTTTAGTTTACGACATTTCATATCGAGAATTTTCCCCTTTAAGAAAAAAATTACTGTTTCAGATGTTTCCACTTTTCTACTCTTTTTTTAGAGAGAGAGAGAGAGAGAGTTGATCAATATTTCGTTCTAAATTATAAAATAAGTTCACAAAAAACAATAAATTGCTCGAAAATGGTACTGTCAGTTGTAGTAAGAAAGTTTAAGAAAAAGAAGAATTTTTTTTTAAATTTCCTGTCTGTTGCAAAATTGACCCTTACTACTGATATTTTATTTTAGATATAAGGTTATCTGAATACAATTTACTTTTAATTTTGCCAACGAGAAACTTTCACAACTAATGACAAAAAGTTAAATATTTAGAAATGTTTCGATCGACTTTTATTAATAGTAAATATTTTTCATCTGACTTGAAACTGACTTTTACTACTGAAATTAGAGTCAACATTGTTCGTCTGACTTGAAACTAAATTTTACCACTAAAATTATAGTGCCTAAATATATTAAAATGTAGAAACAGAATAAGTGAATGCTTCTTCTATTAATAATGGAAATTTACTTTGTGTCTGATTTGAAACTGACCTTCACTACTAATTTTTGAAATTCGAAAACGTAGAATCAGATAATAAAGAACTTTTGTTACTGCTAACAGAAACAAAACTTCTACTACCAATTTTTTAATAAAAATCTTGTGTCTGAACTAAAATTGACTCTTACTAATGACAATTTTTTAAATCAAATTTTAAAATAGTTCGTTCCTCTATAGAGACACTCTCTAAGTGCCTCTTACTACTTATTTCAGTCATTGAAATTGAAGTCACGATCAAAGAATCGATTATATTTTTTTTCAGCTAAAAATAATTGTAAAATAAATCTTAAAACTAAAAATTTTGTAGTAATAATTATCCGAGGAACTTTTTTGTAATCTTTAAATAAAAATAGGAAATGCTTTCAAAAGATTGAAAATTTTAAATGCTCTTTTAATTTAGGAGGGGAGAATTTTGAGTTTCAAACCATTAGAACTGGTTTTTTGAGTACACGACGAAAAATTCCATAGAACTACCCCCTGGAAGTTTTTTCAAGATACAAATTTTTTCTGAATCGAAACTAAATTCTAAAAAATTTCTATTTTCTTCCGTGTTCCGGAAAAAGTTCTTCTTTAATAAAAAAAAAGCTACAATTTGATTACAAAAAGACCAAATTTGATATTGAACTTCAAAAATTGTTTAAAAAAATTATCAAGACCAGCGTCGTTTTTTTGGCTGCAAAATTTTTCTAAATCGAAAATAAATTTTAAAACAGTTTGGTTTACTTTAGAAATTTGGAAAAAGCACTTCTTTTTATGAAAAAAAGACCAAATTTGATAATCGCCTCCAAAAAGTGTTTTAAAAAATTGTCAAGACCAGCGTCGTTTTTCAAGACGCAAATTTTTTCTGAATCGAAAATAAATTTTAAAAAAGTTCTGTTCACTTCCGTGTTTCGGAAAAAGCTCTTTTTTAATATAAAGCTCCAATTTGATGAGAAAAGACCAAATTTAATATTCTACTCCAAAAATTGTTAAAAACAATTGTCAAGACCAGCGTCGTTTTTTAAGATAAAAATTTTTTCTGAAACGGAAATAAATTCTTAAAAATTCTGAGTTTATCCGTGTTTCGAAACAAGCTCTTATTTAATAAAAAAGCTCTAATTTTACAAAAAAAGACCAAATTTAATAATCGTCTGCAAAAATTGTTAAAAAAAATTCTCAGGACCACTTCGTTTTTCAAGATTTAAATTTTTTCTGAATCGGAAATAAGTTCTAAAAAAGTTCTGAATCTCTTACTACTTACACAATTCTCAATAATTAATTTTTTATCTGTCCTCCATAGCATAGAGAATATCTCGTGTATATACTGAAAAAATGTATTTGATTCAAATAACCGATTACTTGGAAATTATTAAATTAATATTCACTTGATTAAAGCAGCAAATACCTTTTAGTTGACTGAAATAAAAATTATTTGATTCAAGTAAGTATTTCATTGATAATATAGTCAAGCAATCTGTTATTTGAAGAAAATATTTTTTTTCAGTGTAATTATAGCAACAGATAAAAATTACTACTTATTTTTCTTCTTAAAAAAAATTAACATCTCACTTAGAATTCAAATCTTGTTCTTGAAATACATATTTAGTTTCTCGAATAAATTTGTTCGATATAATCGAAAGGCTAATGCATAAGTTCATAACCTGAATTGCAGAAGGTTGAATCGCGAATGGATCTATGTAAAACATGTATTTGTATGTGCTTGTATGTGTGTATACGTATATATATATAAGTGATGCGGTAGAAATTCCAGAGGATGGCTTCGAAATGCATAAATACATGAGGCTTGCTGAACCTGGGAGCAAAGGGACAAGAAGTACAGAAAGAGAGGGAAGGGGGAGGGGATTGGTGATGTGCTTTAGGGATGAGTAGCAAGAGAGAAAGCTTTTGCTTGGCATATGCTGGCGAAAGCTGTGCATGCCTCTCTTCTAGAGATGTAATAACGCGTGGATAGCCCCGCGGCGAAAATACGGGTTTTCGAAACATTATCCCTTGAAAATGTCGCGTCGACTGGTCTAGAAGGGGATATATATTTGAGACGTCATTGGATATAGAATCAAGAACATTAAAGCGCATTCGAGACCTCACATCTCGAGGATGTTATAAGGTCGTCGAACGCGTTATTATCGCTGGCTTGCTTGTTGGTGTACTTCAAGTTTTCCATATATGAGCCAGGTATTCAAATACTTAACCCGGGTGTACGTGTGGGAGAAGTCATTTGAGACTTGACATTATATAGTAGTTCTAGAAAACTAGTCGATTTTGTAATTTCATTTTTACTTTCACTTTCATTTTCACTTTCACTTCGATAGATTTTTATTTTCTCTTCGATTTCACATAGTAAACAATAAGAAGTATTAAACAGCGTTTCAGCTACAATTAATAACAAAACTGATTAAATGAATCCATTTTTAGATTACCTTTTTTCCATGAAAAAAATGTGTCTATATCAAAAGCCATTCAGTAGTACCAAGAAAATATTATAACTCAGTAGTAAAGACAGTTTCAGTCAGACGTCAATTTAAAGAAATAGCATTATTTAAATTAACTATTAATTATTATTATTTGTACTATTTATTGCTGTCGTTTATATCTAAAAATAAATTACTTTTTCTACAAACGGAAGAATTTATTTAGATAACTTTATTCAAAAAATTACGATTGTTAATGGTATTATTCCTAGACGTAAATTCTAATTACACTATTACCACCGATAACTAAAACTACTAATTTTATTAGATAGGAATTTAATAATCTTATTTTACTATTTGCAATGAATAAATTTTACTATTTGTCATATAAATTGAAAAAACAAAGTCTGACCTAAAATTGACTATTACTACTGCTAAAATATTTGGAAAATTATGGGATCGAAATGAAATAACAAAAGTTTTTGACCTCTACTACTTATAATTTAATTAAATAAAAATATCAAAAATGAATAATGTTTTCCATTTACAAAAAATAAATAGGACTTTTATTAATATTCTCTTTCACTTAAAAAATTTAAATTGACTGTTACTACAAATGAGAAAAATTTTTAAAATACGAAATATTCAGTGTGACTTAAAACTAAGTTTCAGTAATGAAATTT